CTCAGCATGTGTGGCTCCTCCCTTTCTGCTTCTGAACTGCATTTCTTTCCTTATTACTCAGTGTCCACACCCAGGGCGGTTGCCTGGATAAAAATCTGCCCCTTTCCCCCAGTTACCTTTCCAGGCCAGACATAAGCACCCTGCGGAATGGCTATCTACCTAGGCCCAGTTAGAAGCATTTAATTCCTCAGAGTGGCCTGAGGCAGTACAGTGTCCTTTGAGGTTGTCTGGCCCCTGGATCCTAAGTCTGATTCTCTCCTTGCTTTCTCACTCATCTGCTAAGCTTCTTTATTGGGTACCACTAAGCAAAGTTAATGATTATTCCTCTCTTTAGCCAGAAGGGAAGAAGTTATCTCCCCATCATCAGCTTTTTCAGTGAGGTTTTCAAGGACTCTGGACCCAATTCCCCAGGCTGGGCCATCCCACACAGTCAGAGGAGAACCAGGCCACTTCTCATCCCAGCTGACACTAAGCAGCTTTGTGACCTTGGATAAGACGCCTTCTCTTGGGAGGTTGGACTAGGTGATCTCAACTCTTCCACCTGTGACATTGTGTGATGCAGTAAAGAGGGGAAAGTACACAAATGGGAGGGTGGAACTTAACTTGATTGTACCTGTTTTGTAGGTTCAGGAGAGGTCCTTTGACAACTTACTGGGAGTGGAGGAAGGTAGGTGAAGACTTGGGTGGAAACTTCAGCTCTGGGGAGTCCACTTGCTAATGACTGAATGAGTACCCTGTAGGATACACCTCTGTCAAAGCAATTCAAACTTGTGCTCATCATTCAGACTGGCCTCATCAGGAATCCAGTTTAGTTAGCTAACCTAGCCTTAAATTCACTTGATTTCTTCTTATCCCTTCTTAGAAAAATAAGATTATCTGGGAATCTAAGTTTGTAAAATGAGTATATCAGTACCTTTATGGGTCTTTGTGTAGTCGTATATGCCACATGGTGGTAGAGAGCAAAGCTGACCTTTTCTAGGTATTACTGTGAAGTTGAGTTCTGCTCTGTGATCTTTCACCCCACACTGACTTACGAAAGGTCACCTGATCTTGGCTACAAGGACACCTCGCCCAGTGCCTGGCACATGTTAGGCACACAATAAATATTTGTTAAGTGAATGTCATCTAGTGTGTCCCTAAGTGTACTAGCCTTCTGTCCCTTCCTCTTCATCTCATAGCTGACTTTCTCCATTTGGTCTTGTTTTAACTATGAGAGATGAAACACTCCCCAAAACCAGTTGCAAAAGTTGAGAAGTCAGGCCTGAAGGGTTAGGACATCTTCTGGGATGTAGTGAATACCTGTACTTTTGGCTTCACGCCCCTTCCTCATCTCATTACTTATACGTCATAGGGGTCAGGGAACTGATTTGCATAGCTCTTGGAGTTGTGTATATATGTAAAGCTTTGTTGAGGTGAATGGTGGCAGAATAGAAGACAGTCTCATTAGGGAATGTCTCTAGCTCAACATACTAAAAATTGAGGGGTTTGAACTGAGCTTTGGGGTGCACAAGACTTGAGAAAGACTGAAAATAGAAATCCTCTCATGAGAAAGCACACAATGATGGGTGGCCCAGCGTTCCTCCTGTCCCTAAGCACCTAGAAGCCACAAAGAAACTTTAGGAAGAACTTTTGGTTTGGATCATTCGCCAAACGTGCTAACCTTTCTGCTGAAACATCAAAAAGACTTCTTTTCTCTCTCCCTTGAATGAATACAACTATTGCCAGCTTCTACCCAAGTTCCACCCCCTTGGAAAAAGAAGCTGGGGCTAAAATGTTAAACAGCCCTCATATTCATTCCCTTCTCTTTTTATTCTCCCCACCCTACCCCATCGGTTTCTCCCATCCCCACTGTTCATTCCTCAACTGGGGAAACCTTGGTTGGTGAGAAATTCTGTTGGGCCGTTTTTAGGTTCGTGTAGGCAACAACAGGCCCAGAAAAAGCCTCCTTTCTAAACAGTTGCTTTTGCCTAACATCCCCTGGCTGCTGTCCCCACATGACCCAAATAAACAGATGATCATGTGAAGCCAGTAAGGCTGTTTTAAATAGCAAGATCTCCAGTAATCTCTGGAGCAGATGGGGTATTGGGAGCAAGAGAGAGGCTGGCACTTGAATCTGTGTCCACCCCACTTTTATCTCCTGCTTCCCCACCCTTGAAGGAAAAAGGGTCTTCAGAATACTTTTTGGGGCCAGCCAGGTAGTGTAGTGGTTAATTTCGCACGTTCTGCTTTGGTGGCCCGGGATTCCCTAGTTTGGATCCTGGGCGTGGCCCTACTCACCGCTCCTCAAGACATGCTGAGGCAGTGTCCCACATAGAAGAACTAGAAGGACCTACAACTAGGATATACAACTATGTACTGGGGCTTTGGAGAGAATAAAGAAAAGTAGGAAGATTGGCAACAGATGTTAGTTCAGGGCCAATCTTCCTTAAAAAAAAAAAAATACACTGCCTTTTAGATGGTTGCCTTCTTAATGTGATAGAGCTGGCCCCTGACAAGAAGAGTCAGAAAAACTTGACTTCAGCCTCTAGAAGAGACCAGGGATGTATGAGTGCCATGACACTTGAGGAAGGCAGAAGGGTACCGTTGGATGTAGCTATCTGAGCATCCTGGGCCACTGGGCAGAGTGGTACAGTGCTGACCTCAAACAAAATGAGAACTTGGTCAACAACATTATTTCAGGTCACTACTATATTTTATATATATATATATATATATGTATAGTTTAACACCCCCCCCACACACACACCCCTATATATTGCCTTTAAACTTCCCATTTACTTTGGTTGTGCAGTGGGCCAGGCTCGACCACACTTTTAGCAGGTGGCAGACACCTTAAAGGAAGCAATGTAGGGCCCGGCACAGATTCAGCCCTCCCAGGAAAAGGGCATTCATTGCGTGGAGAAGAACTGGGCTGTTGTGCTCTAACCCCCATTGCTTTCCAGCTTCACCATAAGCAAAGCCATTGGTGCCCCAGCATTTGGGTGTGTAATGGCCTCTCCATGCTCAGCTACACTTGCTGGGGCATTAATGTGCAAAGATCAGAGCCCTCTAGACTGGTGCTGGCAAACAACCTCCTTCTTCCTGTTCACTAGGTTCTTGATTTACAGGGTCTGTGCAGATTTTCTTTCCCTAGGATGCATTATGCCCTCAAAGGAAAGGAGCAAAGCCAGCAAGCATGCATTTGTACCAGCTTTCTATGCGTCTAGCTATCCTGGAGCTAGTCCCCCAAATAGGAACATACCCCCGAGGCCGCAGTGGGGATGGGATGAGATGGAATAGCGGGGTGGTGGGCCACTCAGCTATCCTCATAAAGGTTTGCCTTCTGGCTTTTTATGATGGTGAAGCCCAGGCCGCTGGATCCTGAACCCAATTGGCATTGTCCCCACTGAACGGTTAGCGAAGAAAGGAATCTGGGGCCAGGACTAAGCGGCTATAGGCCTGCTGTCATTGGGACAGCAGAGCTGGACATGCTCCAAGGTGCCCCAAATATGCCTTTGGCTGGCCTGTGCCTGTCACTACCAACTGCACCACTGGGGTTTGTGCGGCCTCCGCTAAAGAAGCAGAACAGCAGGGTTTCAGGTGAAGATTTTGGTGGCCTCCAATCATATGTTAAGTGTCAGACCCCCTCCCGTTTGGGCAGATTTATATTCCTCCATGCCTTTTCTTCTTATTGTGGGCCCTGCCCCAGAAGTGCCTTCAAAAGAGTCGTCCATGGGGTCAGGAATAAATGCTCCTCCCAGGGGCGAGGAGCAACTGGAATACTCGGAATACTGAGTGACCTTAGACAAATCCTTTCTCGTCTCTGGTCCTCTGTTTCCTTATCTGCAAAATGAGAGGATTTCGGCAAGCTGATCTCAAAGGTCTAACTTTCTGATTGTACCCCCTAGGCGCGCCCAAATACTAGCAGAAGAAGCCGCAGTGGGTAGCTCCAGCCCGGGGTCCCCGCCCTCGCGGCGAGCGCGGTGGAGGCCCCGCGCCCCGGCCCCGCCCCCGCGCCCCGCCCGCGGCCTCAGTCGCCCAGCCGCAGGGAGGGCGGGGCTTCCGCCCTCCACGTTGTTGTTCCCGATTTGGGTCACGCCCCCTTGGTCTGGGCTGTGGAGGCCTCGCCTTAACCGCCGCCGCCCCAGCCCTAGAGCAAAGGGTGGCCTTTAGGGTGACACAATTGGACTCTCCATCCACATCAGACACACGTGGACAAAGACAAGAGTTTAGGAGAAGGAAAGAGACAGATTTGGTTTTAAAGGAAGGGTGGTGAAAAGTAAAGGATAGGCCAGAGCACAACTGCGGAATTCCCTGTCAGCGTCCCACCCTCCGTTCACTCAGTGACCCCATCCGCACCCGCGAATGTGACCCTGCTAGACACTGGCCCTTTAAACAGAAGGCTGGCGGCGCGGGGTGTCCATGTGGAGCTGCTCCATGCCGTGTTGTCCTGCCCGCCCATTGGCCCGCGGCCCGGTGACGTCGCCTAATAGGATGCGAACGCACTGCGGGGGGAGGAACGGAGAAAAAATGCGGAATAGGATCGCCACTCCGCTCCTCCCGCCTGTTCTCGGGCAGCCTCCAGCCGACAGCTCCGCCCAGGGGCGGATCCCGGGGGAATTGCGATAGCCGGGTGGTTGCAGGAATTAGGTCACGTGTGGGTAGGGAGTGGAGACCCAGGGGTCAGGCCAGTCTCTACCATCCTAAGGTTTCCCTGACCTGGCATATCCTTATTTGAGCTAACTTAAGTCTTGAATTTTCCACCCTTCCTTCCTTCCAGCAGGACACATTTCGTTGTGAATGACCCAAACACGCAGCCGTTGCACAACTTGTGGCTTGCAACCGGGGCGGGGCGAGGCGGGAAAGCGGAAATGCAGGGCGCGAACCAAGCTCGAGCTTCTCCCACCCCCACCCAGGCCACGTGTGCGCGCGCGGTCTATAGGGGGCGGGCCAGCTCGTTCCGGACCCCGCCCCTCCCTTCGTGAGACGCCGCGGCCCTGCGGGCGGGGGCTCCGGTCCGGGCTTTGGCTGCGGCCCCGGTGTAGTAGCGGGGGCGGCGGCCGGGGGCAGCGCGGCTCCTTCCCTTGTTGTGTGTGTCGGTGCCTCCTCGCCATCTTGTTGCAAAGCCTTTTCTTGTCGGCGGGACTCCCGGGGCCCGCGGGGCGGGAGGCGTCAGAAGGGAGGGGGGGGGCAGGAGGGAGGCAGTGCCGCCTTTTTTTTTTTTGCATCAATTCTTTTTAATTTGCAAATTATATTTTGCAAATATTTTGGGAAACATTGATTTTTCTCCCTGTGCTCCCCCGTTCTTCTCTGCGGAGTGCGCTGCGCCGCCCAGCCCTGTCGCCCCCCGGAGGTGACCCCTCCCTCCTGCCTGCCCGCCAGCCTGACCTGTGCCCGGCTCGCGGGCCGCAGTCTCGGCCCCGGCGCGCCCCCGGCAGCTGTCGGCGCGATGAGCATAGAGACGCTACTGGAGGCGGCCCGCTTCCTGGAATGGCAAGCGCAGCAACAACAGAGAGCACGTGGTGAGCGGCCGGGCTGGGCCCCTGGGGCACCGGGAAAGGGGAGGCGAGCGACCCCGGTCCCCGAACGCACGCGAAACCATGGGCAGGACCCCCTCCTAAGCGGCCCGCGAAGACGGGCAGCGCAGGGCTCCGCGCAAGAGCCGCCGCCCGGGGAGGAGTGTTGTGGCCAGTGAAATTAATTAATGAATTCATTAACATGCAGCGAGGAACCTGGCTCCTGTGGGCGCCACCCCAGCTGCCTGCCACCCCTTGTGCATCTTTCGCGGGGGTCTTCTTTCCCGTGGGCCAGCGGTGCCCTGGGTAGCGCTGAGGATGTGTGAGCCGGGGGTGTGGGGTGAAGAATGGTGTTGCGTGGGGGTGGCAGACCCGCGTGTGCGTGCGTGTGTGCACGGGGGATGTGTGATGCGAGCCTCGAGGAAAGCGGATGAACGGACGTGTACACGGGGCGAGTGTATAGTGCACACGAGTGGGCGTGTGTGTAACGGAGTGGGGGGTGGGAATTACTCTACGCCGAGCAGCTCCCCGGCTTCCCTGGCCCTGTGGGGAGGGTGCGGGGGGCGCTCCCGGCAGAACTACGCGCCGCTTGGGGCGGAGGCGGCCTTTGCAGAATGAAATGACATCGCGTGTCTTATGATCCTGGCCAGCCCCGCCTGACCCCGCCTCCCAGACTGGGCTGGGTCCCGCGTCAAGGGTTTGGGCGAGAGCCGGGCTGATTGGGTGTCTGCAAAACGGTCTGCGGGTCGCTGGGGGCAGCCCCTGGGCCCCCCTTGCTGCGCCCCACTTTAGCCGGTGTGGAATGTGGCGTGTCTGCGCGTTCCAAACCCGCTCTCGGCTGGAATGTTGCGCGTGCCTGCGTTCCAAGCCCGTTGGTTACACCGGGTGGTGACGTGGATGGGCCCCGCCCCCGACCACGTGCACGGGGGACACTCCCGCTGGGGACGGAGCGGCTCGGCCCCTCCTCGCTGCCTCGCGCTTGGCCGGGGGCGGGGCCTGGGCGGGGCCGGCGAAGAGCCTTTCGCCGGGTTGGGCCCTGGCTCTGGCCGCTGGGCATCTCCCAGGGAGGGCTTTTGCCCTGCGAAGGAGGAGCCGAGCTCACCTGTCGGTTCTCCCTCCAACCTCCTGTTTTTGATACTGGGGCGAGGGAAACCCTCAGAATCGCAGAGCGACAGGACATTTAGAGCTTGCATATTCCCACTGACCCCCAAAACGTTCTTACCAGGACCTCCTGGCAACACCCCTGGCTTCATTGTGGAATGAACCAGGCTGAGAAGGGGCCAATTTTGGCGCTTCCTGGACAGAGGGGAGACGAAAATTTCAGATGCTCCTTATCCCCACACGCCCGTGTTAGTGTGGTCCCCAGCTTCAGAGTGCTGCAGAAATAGGGGCTGGGAGGAAAGACCTCCGTTTTGTGGACTGCTGCGAGGGCCTCAGCCCTGGATCGTTGTGTGCGCAGTAGTATCCGTAGACTCCTGTCTCCTCCAACCCAACCCTTCGGCCGGGTTGGTTGTGGTGGAGAGAGTGCTTCGCCCTCCTTTCCTTTCTTTCTGCCTATTGTTGCTTCAATGATGAGTCATGCAGGAGGTAGTAGTGTGTGTTGTGTGCGCGCGCGCGCGCGCCTGTAGCGTGTGCCGCCGCCGCGCTGGCTGGCGGGGGAAGCGGCAGCGGGCCAGGGGCGAGGAAGCGGCGGGTCCGTCGGCCTAGTCGGGTATAAAGGCCTCCCAAGGTCAAGATTCACTCGAAATATGTGAGACTGAGATGCTTGAGTTTTGCGGAACTGATGGGCTGGGACGTCAGCCCACGTGCCCCTCCCCCTTGCCTTCGGGATCCAGAGCAGGGTCAGGCGGTGGACAGTGCTGGTGGTGACCGTGAATGTCCTGCGTGCGGACCCAGCGACCTGGGGAGGAGGTGCACAAGATTTGGAGAGACTGAGTCACCTGCTGCCACCGTCAACACAATGCAATTCAGGAAGACCTATTGTGTCCCCACTGTGTACCAGGCACTGTGCTAGAGGTGAACAGGATTGACCCTGATGTTGCCCCAAGGGAACACTCACTTCATCCTCACTTTACCCGTAGGCTGGTTGGCCATATGAGGAAGGGGAGAAGACCCCCACTGTCATCTCTCCCACCTAAGTAAGTCCGGAGCTGAGCAGTAAGAAGTTCAGGGATAAGGTGTGCACTACCGTGAAGGAACCTGGGAAGGTTCTCTCCTAAGAAGTTGCAGAGCCCTGCTCCCTCCCTCAGGTGGTGAGAACTGGGGCAAGGAGCTGAGCTGAGGCCTAGGTTAGCTGCTGCCCAGTCACAGCTCCTTGTTGGTGGGGCAGGGGGTCTTAGGGGATGGATGGATCCTGGAAAGCCAGATCTACTCCAAAAACTCCAACAGATGGCTAGAGCTGGCCGCAGCAGTTTAATCTCCAGGATTCACTTTTTCTCCTTCTTGAGGTTCTGTCCTCTGGCTTGGGATGGGAATAATGGGAGAGAAGGGGGTGGTGTGTGACCCTGCTGACCAGAAGTGCTTTCCTGGGGTATGTACCCGATGAGCAGCTCTGAACAGGGGTCCTCTTGTCCATGCCCTGGCTCAACCTCAAGGGTCGGTTTCTGGTCCTACACAAGCCAGCTTACTCACACGATGAACCTGAGGGTGTGTGTGCACATGCATGTATGTGAGGGGAGGAGAAGAAAGGGCAAGGCATCCTGATGGTCGGCAGGAGGGCCTAGTCATTTCTAGCATCCAGGGGGGTGGCTTGTATGGGACCCTCCTCTATCTTGACTGGAGGCAGCTGGTGGGAGTGTCCACAGGCTCCTTACCTAGTCGCACCCTGGGCCTGCCTTACGTGCCAAGCTCCTGGTTAGCACGAAGGGGAGAATCTTCCTGAACATTTGGTGCCACCAGGTGTGAACTCCTTAGGCCCCAGCCCTGTACCAGCTGAGCCCCTGGGCCACAGTGGCTTGGGATGGCTGAAGGGAGCACAATGCCCATATTCTCCACTGTGTCCCCTGAATCACCCCAGAGGGGTCGTGCTCCATTCTCTGGGGGCAGAGCCCAGGGAAGGTGCCAAAGTGTGTGCATGTATGGGAGTGAGAGAGGGAGTGCACCCATGGGTGCAGAGAGCATTATTTTAAAGAGCCTAAACTCATCTTGCTCATGAGGGAGGTCCCCAAGTGACCACCAGCTTGCTTCCCCCACTTTGTTTCCTGGTCTTTCCAGGGCACGGGGACAGGGTCGCTGCTGGGTGGGGAATGAGTCAGAACCAGCGCCAGGAGGAGGCAGGAAGCTTTGGTGGGCGGGATGCCGCCTGGGGCATACCCTCCTCTTCACTACCAGTCAAGCTTTTTCGTGCTGATCCAGGTGTGATAGACCTTGGCCATTCACCTTGGTCCCTCCTGGCACCTGTGAGGCATACCTGCCTGGCTCTGGAAGAAAGAGGGTAGGTGAGAAGGTGGTTGCCACCTGGGTGAGCTTTGGAGTTGCTTTGAAATATGGGGAATATGATGTTTGCCTTCAATCTGGGTTCCCAGGGCACCTGTCCTTGGGGCCCTATCTGTCCCCCTGCTTATGGGAGAGTTGAACGCTTGCCCCAAGGCCAATGAAAATTTGAGTCCTGGATCAGTCAAAGGAATGGAGGTGGGGCTGTGTTGGGCCCTGAGCTCCTGGGCATTGTCTTGGGGAGGGGATGGGGGGAGGTGGGGATGGAGGGTGGCAACGGGGAGCAGACTGGGGATGTCCCAGGCTGGGCCTGAGGCGGCTCCCTAGCTGGAACTCAGCAGGCTTCTTTCCCAGTGTGGTCTGTGGGAAGCTGGAGCGCAGAGAGCTGGTTTTCTATGGGGCTATAACCTAAGCTAGTGCTGGCTGGAAAGGCCTGGGCGAGTAAGACCTCCCCTCATTGGAGCAGGCCTGCACCGGACTGGCAGCGTCCCTTCCTGAAGGGTGGGGGAGATACGGAAGAGGCCTGCGCTGCCCGCTCCAGCCCCTGAACTCAGGCTGCTGGGAAACCACTGAGTGCTTCCCCTCTCAGAACACTTCCCCCTCTACTTCCTCCTTGCTCTCCTCTGCGGGAGGAGGGCGCTCAGCTCAGAGCAGGCCTGGCTCACACTAGTTGTTGATTGGTCAAAGGGCCTTGAGGCCTCAGGTTTTCTGGGGCCCCTGAGCCCAAAAAACATGTCGGGGGTTGATGCCCTCCTCCCTCGGGGGCACTTAGCCAACCTCATACCCAGCCCCACCCCTTGTGGGGTGGCATGTTTGGGGCGTGTCCACCTGCCAGTGCTGTCAGCTCTGTTAGTCAGCAGTGTGGCGAATCCGAGGCAGGGGGAGGGCTAGTTGACCAGACTGCTCCCTGGCCTGGGGGCTGCAGCGGCTCCCCAGGGCTCTGGCCCAGCCCTGTAGCCAGGGAACTGGAATGATGGGGCCTGGGAGAGGACGGGGCAGGTGGAGGTGGAGAGGGGCCCTCTCCCCTTCCCCTGTTCTCTGCCAGCTGCTGAGCAGGCCTCACCTTCCTGCAGGGCTTTCAGCAGAGACGCTGAACTGATGGTACGTGGTTGCCTGACCTCATGGCCCTTGTTCACCCCTGTTAAAAAGCCCAGCTTGGGCAGCGTGGCTTAGCAGTTGAGTGCGCGTGCTCTGCTACTGGCGGCCCAGGTTCGGATTCCGGGTGCGCACCAACGCACTGCTTCTCCGGCCATGCTGAGGCCGCATCCACATACAGCAACTAGAGGTTGTACAACTGACATACAACTATCTACTGGGGCTTTGGGGAAAAAAAAGGAGGAGGATTGGCAATAGATGTTAGCTCAGAGCCGGTCTTCCTCAGCAAAAAGAGAAAGATTAGCACGGATGTTAGCTCAGGGCTGATCTTCCTCACACACACACACAAAAAAAGCCCAGCTTTCCCTTCTGGCTGCCTCTTATCTTTCTAGTTTGTGCTGCTGGTGGTGGTGGTTGGGGAACAGGAGGGATTCTGGGGAAATTAGTTCTAGCATAACAAAGGGCAGAGAAGGACCAAGTGTGTTTTGTGTGGTCCCTCAGGAAACCAGAGGCATTGGGACCTAGCCTGGGAGTCCAGGGTCCTGGGCCTAGTTTCCTCATGTGTGAACTGAAGGTGATGTCCCTGCCCTGCCTGTGGTGTGGGGCTCTTGTGAGGATCCAGGCGTGTGTGTGTGTGTGGGTGGGTGTGTGGGTGGGTGTGTGTGTGGACACCTAGTGAGCATATGTTGGCACAGCAAGTACCGGGCACCCGCTGGGTGTCAGCAGACCGGGCTGGGTCTGGCTCCAGTTTTACCTGTGACTTGCTGTGTGACCCTCAACAAATCACTTTGCCTCTCTGAGCTAATTTAGCTCATCTGTGAAATGAAGGTACTGCCTGTCCTCCAGAAGGTACTTGGTAAATACTGTTGAAGGTCTTCCCCAAAAACTATGATCTGTCTGCTCCCCTCCATTCTCCTGTGGTGGCCTGGGAGGTCTTTTGTGGACTGGCCTCTGCCCACCTTATCTGTCACCCCGCTCCCTTCAGCCTTGTTGCTCCTGACCATGCCTGCTTATCCTCTGCCTAACTCCTCAACCTACAGGTTTGCCAGGCCTTCAGCATCCTCTCGGACAGCTCCTCTCCCCCAAGCCTGGACTGTTATCCCCTGTCATTTGTCCCTCCCTTCACCCCCCACACCCTGAGCTCCCCAAAGGCAGGGACCAGGTCTGTTTTATTTGTTCATCGCTGTGCCCCCAGCCCTTAGCCAGTGCCTGGCTGGGTGTGGATGGGTATTTGTGGTATGTCAGGCTGAGCAGGGCTGTCACTGAGCACTGACTGGGACAGGGTCAGAGGATGGGTTATGGTTGGAGGACAGGTGAAGCTGGGGCCAGGACTGTTGGCCCCACTGAGACATCCCTTGTGTTCTCTGCGTAGATGAGCAGGAGCGGCTTCGCTTGGAGCGGGAGCGGGAGCAGGAGCAGAAGAAGGCCAGCAGCCTGGCCAGGCTGGCCCATGCCCTGCCTGTGGAAGAACCCCGCATTGAGGCACCACCCCTGCCTCTGTCCCCCCCAGCACCCCCGCCAGCACCCCCACCCCCACTTGCCACCCCCACCCCACTGACTGTCATTCCTATTCCAGTAGTGACCAACTCCCCTCAGCCTCTGCCCCCACCACCACCACTGCCCCCCGCAGCCCAGCCTCTGCCCCTGGCACCTCGCCAGCCAGCTCTGGTTAGCACTCCTGGACTGAGCATTAAGGAGTCTGCCCCCCTGCCCACCAGGCCACAGGTGCCCACCCCTGCTCCCCTACTGCCGGACTCCAAGACCACTGTTCCGTCCACTGGCAGCCCCAAGCCTTTACAGCCCCTCCCCACACCTATCCTGACCATTGCACCACACCCTGGAGTCCAGCCCCAGCTGGCCTCCCAGCAGCCACCCCCACCCACTCTTGGGACGCTGAAGTTGGCACCAGCTGAAGAAGTCAAATCCAGCGAACAGAAGAAGAGGCCTGGGGGGTGAGTGAGGTGTGGCCGAGTCAGAGCTGGTGGGATGGACAGGAGAACTGCCCACCCCCTGGGCTATGTGTGCAAGAGAAAGTACCCTCCCAAGCCCAGCTTTCAGAGCCATACCCTACCTTCCCAACCTAGAAGCGCCCTCCTAGATTTGGACACATTCTCACTGTACCCCAGCCCCTCCCCACCCAGGAATGGGGAATGGCCATTGTCCTCTGTTGTTCTCAGGCTTGTGTGTTCTCTGACCCCCTCCACGCTTGGGGCTGATGGCATTTCCAGGCCTTTGGACAGGGTATTGGGTTATGGGCCTCTTGTGAGGGATGGGGTCAACTGGCTATTTCTCTGAGGCCCAGGAGCACTTCTGTCTCCTCACAGGTGGACAGGTGGGATGGAGAGTTAAAGGGGTTATGAATTATGAGCATACATGTGCCCTCCAGGGGATGTACGTGCCATGGCACAGGGCCAAAATCTCCCATTGGTGCTTTTATAGAGAGACAATGTCAGGGACAAAAAGCCTGTGGCATCTGGGGGATGGGGGCAGGGGGCAGGAAGGCTGCCTAATCGTGCTCTCCTCCCTGAGCCTCCTGTCTGTCTGGGTTTCAGGATCGGAACCAGAGAAGTCCACAACAAATTGGAGAAGAACAGGTGTGTGTGCGTGCCTGTGTGACTCTGGGCCCGCCCCGCCTGCTACGGGGACTGGTCCCACCCTTGGTCCTCAAGCTCTCCTGGGGCCTTCCCTCCCCGCCTCCAGCCCGTGCCCCCGCCCCCTGGCAGTGGCTGACCCGCGCTGCTACCTCTCCCCAGGAGGGCCCATCTGAAGGAATGCTTTGAGACCCTGAAGCGAAACATCCCCAACGTGGACGACAAGAAGACGTCGAATCTGAGCGTGCTGCGGACGGCGCTGCGGTACATCCAGGTATGGGGGAGGGAAGCTCGGCAGAGACGAGGCGGGCGGTGGCGGCGACCGCCGCAGAGCCAGCTTCCTCCCCGCTCCCGCCCGCCCTCCTCCCCTGGCAGCGGCCCCGCCCCGCCTTCGCCGGCTCCCCCGCCCTCCTCCACGCGGGCGCTGAGCACATGGCCCGGTGACGTCAGCGGGGCTCCCCGCCCGTAAAGGGGCGGGCGGACGGGCG